GGTCGTATCTCGAAAAATTCGTAAGTAGGGGCATTCGTAAGTAGAGGTACCACTGTATGTGTTTAGAGCTGTTATTGAAGTATTCCTTTTTAAAGTGCAACTTTTAAAATTCAATGTTTGTAATTAAGGTTTTTTTTTAATGAACACGTGCAATGTACATTTTATAAACAAGCAAAATACATGCATTTAAGTATGAATATTTTGAAATAAAGAATGGCATACACCTTGGAAGCTTTCCAGGGGCTCCTAACTGCCACCATGCAGATCCTCCTTCATCACCAGAAAGATTTTGTAACCAATTTCCTCTTTTTATCCTGAGTACAAGACCTGAATTTATCACAGCCACCCCTGAGGGATCCAGATTAATTGCTCACCTTAAGAAAAATGGTGGGAAACTATAGTAAGTAAAGTGAAAAGTTTCCATAATCCTCTTCTGCTCAAACGAAACTCAAAATTGGGATACTCAGAGTCTGCACAGCCTACCTAATGCAAAACACTGAACACCAAACTTTCTGGCTGTCTTTGGGGTGAAGGAAAGATCAAAAAACTTCTGTAGTGCCAGCTCAATCTCTGAAACCAGGCATAGGAAACAAGAATGGGAAGGAAGGAAACATTTGCCTGGGCAAGGAATTTAAGCGTTGCTCTTCTACAACATTAGGTGCAACATCTATAATCCCTTTCGGATTCATCTGTACGTCTCCCTCTTTCTCCAGAACCAAGGGCCTATCAACATTTCCTTACTTATCAAACTGCAAAATGACACCAGCCCCTCCCTGACTCCTTTCTTAACTTACCAGGCGCTGAGCAGAACATCCCGGTACTGAGTATCAAGAAAGCCAGCATAAGTCTGCTCACGTGAAGCCCAAACTTCTTGCACACTGCCCTGAGAGAACAGAGGAGAGAATTGGAGCCGGCTCCAGTGCTAGGGTGCAAAACAGTTAATGATGGCTCCCACAGCTAAGATTTCACTGCCTCCAAAAAGACAGGGCCAAGCATTCAGTATAAGCAGCTTTATCTGTAGCTCAGGGATAAAACATGGGTGCTGCTTATGGAAGACTCCAAGGCTAAGTGGAACAGAGTGAAAGTGAGCAAGATACCCCAATGATCTAAAACTACCTCTGCTGGTAACAGACTTCAGAACCTTTCAAAACTAATTAACTCAACCAGCACTTACTATCTTGAGCCCTTCACACCTGTGCTCTTTCCTAAAATCCCTCCAGGCGTCAGCCATTTATCAGGTCCAAAGCAGCAGAGACATGATATTATATGGGATAGCAGCTGTGGGTGTGCCTCATGCATCTAATATTGTAATGCTTTTTTTTTTTTAATGATATCCTACCATTCAATAACCTGGATAAACCAATCCATAAACCTACAGCAGTTCTTAGGACCTCTAATGGATTCAGGCCTTCAATGCGGCTGACGAGACGTGGATATCCTGAAACATGTCCAAGAGTTTTGTCACAACAGCAAAGAATATATGTAGCTCAAAGTTGAACTGTTGGGTTCTGGGTGTTCTCTGAGCTTGGTATGTTTCATTACCAGGCTAGGTAACATCATCAGTGCTTGGAGGAGAGGTGTTTGCTGGCTGTTTATATAGAACTGTTTGCCAGCCAATGAACTCTGCTCCCTCAGACACTGATGATGTTACCTAGCCTGGTAATGAAATGTCTGCAGGAAACCCATCAAGCTCAGAGACCACCTAGAACTGAATATTTTTGCTACAGTAGTTTGCTGTAATGGTTATATGGCAGATGGAGAAACGCCCGCCCCCCCCGACAGCACCTGGGTCAACAGAAATACAGTGCACAACAGTAACCAAGGAGGCACTTGTCTGTACTCACTTGTAAAAATAAAGCTCGCAAACGCAACTCAGGAAGGCCAAAAGGCAGCGCAGAAAGTAGAAGATGAGGACCTAGGAAAAACAATTCCTGTTACACAACTTCTAGAAACAGACAGTGGTTGTGTTCACACAATATACAGAATGACAAACCTGCCAGATCTTTTTTTTTTAACTCGATCCTGGTGGTCAGTTTGCCATGCGGTATGTCTGACAAAGCCAGTTAGGTTGACTAAATCGTGATTTGGTTAGACACGGGTAAGTATGTCATGTGGTGGAAGAGCAGGCTGCTTGGCAAAATTGCAGGCCCCTGCTCTGAGTTCTTTCCCTCCCATCTGAGGCTCTCCCCCAGCATCAGCATGGCAGAGTTGCCAATAAAGCAGCAACCTTGACACAGGGGTGGGAGAAGACGCGTGTTTCGGAGCTCTGCAGCCACCAGCAAACAGAGAGCAGCCGCTAAATGAAAGAAGGTGCCTTTCCTTCGGAAGGAGTGGACGGTCCAAAAGAGAGGAAAAGGAGGAGAGAGGCCCAGCAAGATGAAGCACAACATAAAAAAGATGCAAGAGCTCTATATGCCGGGCATTAACAGGAAAAGAAGAAGAAATCTCAGAGGGAGGGGATTTAAGACGGAACAGGCTTAAGAAAGAAACAGTGATGCATACTAGTAATAGATAATAGAGCAGTGTTTCTCAACCTTGGCCACTTGAAGATGGCTGGACTTCAACTCCCAGAATTCCCTAGCCAGCAAGTACTTGTCTGTACTCTTGAGAAACACTGGTACAGAGTATAATATATAGAGTAATAGATAATAGAGCAATGTTTCTCAACCTTGGCCACTTGAAGATGGCTGGACTTCAACTCCCAGAATTCCCCAGCCAGCATGCTGGGAGGTGAAGTCCAGCCATCTTTAAGTGACCAAGGTTGAGAAACACTGTAATAGAGTAATAGGTAATAGTAATATAGTATATTGAATAGTAATAGTATATAGTAAATGTCTTAGTAGTAGTAACTGTCATAATTGCTAGAGCAACAGTATAGAGATAGCAATAGAACAGAATACAGTAAAACCTTGGATTGCAAGTAACTTGTTCTGCGAGTGTTCCGCAAGACGAGCAAACATTTCTAATAAATTTCAACTTGATAAACGAGCGATGTCTTGCAATACGAGTAGTATGTGATGCTGAATGTCACATGATCACCAATGAGCCAATGGTTCTTCTTTCTCGTGCTGTGGGATTGTGGGTGATCGCTTTGATATACAAGTGCTTTGGGTTACAAGCATGTTTCCGGAACAAATTATGCTCGCAAACCAAGGTTTTACTGTATAGGAAGCACTCGCATATCGATTTTATATGTTTGTTTTAACAAAATAAAACATCACCCCAACTCTTAAGGGGAGATATAAAGAATCCACCTGTCCAAGATCCAGTGCTTTTGGGTCTCTCTTGAGTCTGGGTCAATCTGATTGGGGACAGTTTAAAAAAGAACCCATGAAACATGTGACTGGATTGGACTAAAACCAGCCTTCTGCAAGTTTGTACCTTCCAAAGACCAGACTAGAGATAGCTCTCATTTAACCCCTCTCTGTTTCTGTACCCTAAGTAAGATATCATAAAAAACACCTGAGCTGCTCTTAAAACAGGCTTAGAAATGAAGAGGACAAAAAAAGGGGGGGGGGAGGAACATCTAAAGTCCCTTGCGAAGTCTTAGCAAACAGAGTAGGACTCTTGTTCCACCCCATCGCAAAGATGAAGCCAATATAGGCACATTACCTTGTTTGTTTGTAGAATTCTAGCGTGGAACAGGGCTGGTAGGGCATGGAGCCACAGGTACGCATAGGAGCGAATGGCATAAACAGGAGAATATTCCCACGTCTGGAAGCCTCTGCCATAAACGAGGTAGTGCATCTACGAAACAAGCGCACGACAGGACATGTCCAACATCTTGCTTTCTATGGCATGTGTACGCGTACAAGGAAGAATACTAAGTGCTCAGCCAGTAACTGTCAAAGTCATCAAAAAGAAATGGGGGGATTTGCTCTAAGAAACTAATCTCCACAAGATCTGTGACCTTGTTTCCCACAAGACCAGAGGGTTCAGCTGAGAGCAACTGAAGACTTTTAAATCCTGCAGTGATTAAAGAGGCTTGGTTAAACCTTCACCATTCTGCAAGCCAATAAGACCACAGGCAAGGAGGATACTCACAGGTTCCCAGTAGTTAAATGTTTCATCGCAGTCAGAGATATTACTTAGCAGAGCTGCACAGAATCTGGCTGAGATTAGACACTTGAAAGCTGTTGATCCTTCAGGAGCCCAGACATGCCCTGCTTTGGTTCCTGATGATCTAAGAGAAAACCAAAGTAATTGTTATTAATCCTGTAAATGGATGATCGAAGACAAGGAGAAAAATGGTAGAGATGGATGCTCAGAAGAAAAAGATGCTGCTTAGACAGTTATTCTGGCTTTCGAAAACAGAATCCCTTTGAACATCCAGAAAGATTGATCAGAGAATCAGAGGGCCAAATTGGTGCATTTAAGGACTGTCACTGCTGGACAATCATGGGATGAAACTGCTGCTCTTGGACCTGAACCCCATTTATTCATTGCTCAAACACTACTGGGAGCTTGTTTTAAATTGATCAAATACCATCTGGATCAAAGTTTAAGAACAGCCTGACTTATAAAGAAAAAATTTTCACCCTGCAGGAGAACCTGGCTAAAGGTACCTTTTAAAGTATTTTTGCAAAGTTATTATCAAAGTGAATGGGAGAAAAGTTTAAGTTACCTTTCCTGTTGTTTATGCCACTAAGGTGGATACCATTAGGCTTTCCATTGGAGGAAACAGAATGCAAAGCACCTCTGATGCTCAGCAAAGTTCCTCCATGAATACCCCCTGGTATTTTAGAGAGAGCAATCACAAAGTTTCCAGATCTCAGGAAGAGTCCAGGGAAATGGCAAAGTGAGTGGGTTTGTGCCTGAGCTAAAGCTAGAGAAGGACAGGTCAGGGACAAGAAGAGATGTGGGGGAATTGAACTTCTTCAGTGCCTTCCAGGCTGATGGACTACAATTCTGATTGCCCTCTGCCAGCACAATGGCTGGGGGTGATGGAAGGTGTAGTCGCCTTCCAGAGGGCATTAGAATGGGATGGCTGGTGTAGGGCTGAGGGAGGCAACGGAGGTGCTGTGTCTAAGTGGAGGTGCAATATAGGCGGTCTGCCATTGATCCTCCTCATTTCCACACTGCTGTTCCTCCCAGAGGCACCCAGAGCAGTAACACACACAGTGTGGCATAGGGCTATCGCAGCAAAGTCAACCATGTTGCAAAACAACGCATACCAAAATGAAAACAAAATGAACAACCAAAATGAAAGCAAACTTCATTTTAAACAGAGGGAAAGCAAAGGGCAGGTGATCAAACAGGGGGTTGGTCCCGGCGGAGTTGTAATCTCAGAGGTGCCTGGGGGAACATACACGCTGTCCATTGCTTTCTGAAAGGAGAGAACGGAGGACAGGCGGGTGTCTCCTGGGAGAGACTTCCAAATGAGGGTGCCGCCACGGAGAAGACCCTGCATCTAGCCAGAGGAGGATCTAAGCCGGAGAGTTACTTTTAAACATCACTTTTTGGAAGCAGAAGGCCCGTTAATTGTTTATAAAGACAATCCCACTTAAAAAATGACCCTTAAAATCTCCCTGCAATCTCCTTGGATTTATAGGAAGGGGAGAGAAGCCAGCATCTGCCACCCACTAGAGGCTTTGGAAAGTGGGCGGCAGCTCCATCTTTTTTTTAAAAAGCTCCCCAGCAAAATAAAACAAGAAAAAGAACGTAAAATGTAAAGCGAACACTCTGAGGTGAGCCAGGAACCCCCAAGAGGGCCCAGAGCTGACCTCTTTCCCACCACCACAAAAACAAAAAGGCCACGATTGGAAGTTTCAGGGATCCCCCCCCCCCGAAGGGCCCCACAATAGGAATGTTCAATATAAATTCAATCGATTAGG